TTTACCGGGCTGGTATCTAATTGGGTCCTTCTATTGATCGTCAGCCAATTGCACGTTGAACAGAACAACTCAGACATGCCTCTTCGCCCATGTTGATGATAGAAAACACTCGGCTTCTACTTTACTTCGAGAGAAACGTTGATGAGGGTGCAATGGTCTTTGCGCTTGAGCGAGTTGATGAGTGAACTAAGAAAGGAACAATACGAACTGAGTGAATTACGAAGTCGACGTTCGAAGCCGGCGGGATGTTGAATTAGTCATGGATGCGCTAGAAGGTACAGCTGCAAAGAGCACGCCAGAAACAGTGTGCAGACTGTTGCAGCATCTGGTGACGTAAATCTCCGTGGAAATTCGACTTCCCCGCAGTTCCCGCGCGGCTCGGAAACCCGGGCGTCGCGTAGCGCGCGGGACAGCGAAGTCTATTTACGGTTTGTCACCCTCCCATACGATCATAAGACGGATATTTGTCAGCTCCGTAATGATTTTGCCAGCAAATTGTCGAGTATGACCTCGTCCGTGTCCGGCCGAATTGAGGTAGCTTGGGATGCCACAGTCTACGGCATCTTGACCGTGCGGCATGCGGTCAAGGCTCCATCCGGCTCGGCATGCCCAGTGTCCGCCCCACTCCGAGCGTATTCATCGCCGAGAACGTCACTGTCGGAGCTGCAGGGCTGGACAGGTGGGGTTTCTCTTTCGGCCTTCAAAGACCATCCGACTTGGTTAGAGGTTTGTGAAGTCTGATATTCAGATTCTGTTAAGGAGACTTCACCTGCTAACTGAACGCGGATAAGACACTTTATGTCTACGGCTTACTGGTCAATAAATTGCATCATTAATCACAGCTCCTATAGTTTCTGGTATCTCTTTCGTCGTCTTCTTTTTAAATTTCGTCCTTAAGCTACTGTCTGTAAACTCGCGTAGAAGTACACGGTACACCTGAATACATATAGACATAGAATATGTGGACAATGGAGTCTAAGAAAAGGGACCCCTATCTCGTGGGGTTTCTCTTTCACATAGATTGACACTAGGTATGCTTAAGTTCCCTAGTACTTTTTACATACGGATTCAACAACAAGGCTCCCTTCGACTCCCTCTTAATTTCGCATTCCCGAGATTCTTACCCTGTGGAGCCGCAATGACACTAAGCAGTACACCCTCAGTCTAAGCCGACTGACCGTCTGCTCAGCCTGCCGCAAAAGTCCATCCGTTGATAGGCGCCTCCAGCGACGTGCGGTTGTACGACCCCAATGTTCTCGCCAAATTGAGACTCATTTACCCTTTCCATTTCTTCTTGCATGATGCTGCTTATCACATTTTCGACAATGTGCAGTTTCACAACTTCACGATCTTCATATTGGCTAAAAGCAATCGACCCCGCTCCGAGGTAATCTACAGTCATCCTTGGCTGGTCTTGGGTTCTGAGCGGTCATTATGTCACAATGAGCCGTGGTCGTGTATTTTGTGTATGTAATAGTCGATAGCTCTCTTCCTTTCCATTTCTCCCATCGTTTTATTCATCAACTTAGCAAACAATCTCATCTGAACTCTGTCCTGAACGCCTACTTTCTCCAACTGTTTATTGAGCAAGAAGAAGCTATGCCGAGAGACAAAGACGACACCGACAGCAACCGGAAGAAGTCCCGTGATGGCCATCAGGTAACTCTTTCCCGTCCCCTTACCGCTGCCCCATTGTCGTCTATGGACCTTACGCCTATCACACAGAAGGGTTACCAAGGCCAGACCGATCCCATCGATGCCGACCGGACCGTGGACATGACGGAGCGGAACGATACAACCGATGAGAGCTCCCCTATCGCCCCATACACCGGGAATAAGAAATGAGCTCTTGTATTCAGAGGTTAAGCGCTGGGTCAGAGTGAGGGTTGCGCTGGTAGTGTATTGCTTACTGTATCTAAGGGTTGGGGGGGAGGCGGAGAGAAAGGTAACTTGTATTTGAATCTGGAGACACTCGCTTTAGACCATCATGGGTCTCAAACACATTATTTTTAACAGGGCATCTGCTGCTTTAAGCTCAATGAAACGGTTTCTGGACCGCCCCTTCAGGATGTGTGTGAGTTAACTGTTCGTAGAAGCCATACCCAAATTAGCACCAGATGGACACCTCTTTCACCTTTTAAATTCATCAAGCACATAGAAAGACAAAATATCCAATGCCCCAAAAAGATTTGTACAATTTAGTACAGCCTGATGCGTTTTCATGCATGCGAGGGCCCCCGCCTACGGACACGTCCGACAAGGTGCGGCGGCACAGTCTCATGTTGACCAGGAGTACCAGTAATGAAGCCCACCGCAAACTGGTGCTTGCAACTCTGTCTGAATATAACCTAGAACCTCATCTTTCAGGGGATAGCTTACAGATCACGATACCTGATGTTTCCTGTTGAGGCTCTTATTCCCGACCAAAGTGCAATATCACAGCCTCACTTTTCCTATGTTGACCAATACCTAGGCTCATCACTGTTTGGCACTGCAGCACAGTCCTTGGCTGCATTCAGTTTAATGTAGGGCTAGTTATGTTGGGTAAACGGGAGGTATTGGGCTACGAGGCATACCTATTTGTTGCCGTGTCTCCTGCGTTATGGTTTTCTCCTCGATCAACCCGTCGCCCACTCCAGTCGTCACATCCTTTCTCAATTGCGTCTATACCATCGCATCCCTCCGTTAGCGACGCGCCATAGGGAATCAATAGTGCCCTGCATATAGACGACTGGCTGTAGTCCATGGCGACCAGGCACAACATAGTTCTCTCCTCCCTTGCTGGTTGTTTTCGCACCCTCCAAGAACAATTCCTCACCATGATCCAGCTCCACTGAAACCTACTTCCACCTTTCAATAATCAATGTTCATTAGAGCCTGCTTAGACCATCTCCGGGCATGTTCCCAGTTCGGCCCTCGAGGTATGGCGCCTAAGTTTCTAAACGGTTTTCGAAGCTATCAGCTCTTATCTCGGTTTGAAGGATGCGCTTATATCAGCCGATCACCGCACAATCTAACCATACCTTGACATGTTCACGCTGACCTTGGGGCGCGACAAGATCAACGTCGTCACAAAACGAACAGCCGTGGATAATGAATCAAAGTACGCTCGGAAATTGACGTTCGAAACGGAAACTAGAAAGCCGAGGGCACGCTCATCTAAACGACCCTCGGTAAAAATTCGTCCAGGATGAGCTAGCATCCCCTATCCATACGGCAGGAAAAATGCTGCCAAGAAAGCTTGCTTAACTCATTTGAATACCTGCAGTTTGAGCCCCTTCCGGGAATCAACTTACATCCCTCTCGCGGCTGGTCGGTGTACGCCTTCACAGCAGTTCGACAATATTAATGTTAAGCCGATGTACATTTTGAGGTATCTACGTCGCCTGTGCGTAGATAAATTGAGTTGTAAACTCCTTTCATCAGTTGCTGAAGTTGCATGTGTAGGACACGAATGATCCAACGCGCCGGTGGAAAATTATCAACACGTACTAACAAATTCCCTTATGCTCGGGCCACTGATGGCTTGCGTACTTTGAAAAGAGTTTACGAGCCCAAGTGCAGAGGGTCAAACGCTGCGAGAAGTCGCCGAGTCGCGACCATGACTCAAAGAATTTGGGTTTCTTCTAAATTGCAAGGCGAACGATGACCCGTTGCGAAGGCCCTTTCTATCACCCAGTCCTCTGTCATGTATCACGTACAGCTAAGAATCAACATAACTATTTAAACAGCAGCATATGGCCTAGCTGCTCAACTGCAACACCAGTTCACCAATAGTCCTTCATTTTCAAGTTCTACAGGATCGCTCTGTCGACAACATGAAATTCTCCATCTCTGTCGCTACCGTCATGTCTCTCATGAGCGCCGCTCTGGCTGACGACTTCAACCTTGTGTGTTGGGGCACTAGTGTTCCTGACAATATCCAGAGGGGAGACCTTGAGTGGGCTATCAAGAATCGCGTCACTGAACTCGGCGTGCCTGGAGGCACCACCTTCCCGTACAAGTTCCACACTTGTACGGATCTTGAGAACAAGTCTCATGAGATTGCGGTCATTGTTACACCCACCAGTAAGTGTCTCTGTTGGCTGTTGACGTGACAGTATTTCCCGCACCAATTATATCACACTTTTGCGCCCGCCTATCCCCCAAATTTCGTCCGTTGCGATAGTTTGCGTGGACTATTGTGCTAATGGCCGTTTTTAGTCACCAGAAAGGGATTCGTCAAGCTGGCAAATGGCAATATTGAATGCAGCGCTCTAGGACCTAGGAATTGGATCTGCCCTCGACACGCGTGGTAGAATGTGGGAAGATTTAAGCGATCGCATCGATGCTTACGTATGACTATCTCTCATGTACAAGAGACAACGCCTTTTCTGTGTGCTCGCAACTGCCGTCACTGCCGCCGCCTCTGATTACTATAATATGCTATCGTCATTTAAATGAAGGCTAATATCCGTTCAGAATACACGATATCTAATCGCGTAAACACAAAACCGATGAGCGCTTCTTTACATAACATTCAGAAGAGTCGTTTTAGGTACACTCGTTAGACAGCCATCGCCGGATTTCGTCTCGCTGGAAACCTATCCAAATTGTGATGTTACCGGACACTTAGCATCCTTTCCATTTCTTTCGCCTACGTAAATCCTCCGCTCTTATGATTCCTGTGATTTCTCCATATTGGGGCACTGAAGATCCGACAAAGTCACACCGGGCGGTTGTCTTTGCTTGTATCATACATCTATCCAACCAACCGGATCACATGCTCCAGACCCGCCCCGAAAAGAAGCCCTTTCTGTCTGGAATCTTCCTGTCAATCAATCATAATGTGGATACAGAGAGCTTGTAGTACGCGGCTATGGTCCCGTAAGCAGAGTCCGAACTCACGTCAGCTGGAAAGCCAGGGCGCTCATCTACTTAAATTGTTAGCCAGCAAGCATTTTGAAGAAAGTTCATAAGCCTTCCCCCCTTCTCATGCGTACTTTTCAATCTAAGACAACATGTCGAGCAAAGGCATCGTTCTTGTCACCGGCATCAATGGCTATGTTGGCGGTCGAACCGTCGAGGCTCTGCTCAAATCGGGTTACCGCGTTCGCGGCACGGTTCGATCAATGCCTTCAGCCCAAGCGACTGTCGAAGCATTAGCCGGGTATGAGCAAAACCTGGAGATTATTGAGGTCGCAGATACATCCGTTGGCGGCGCTTTTGACGAGGTAGTCAAAGGCGTTGAGGGCATTGCCCATCTGGCCCAGCCCGTCACCGAAAACTTTGGAAGCGATCCGCAACTTATGATTAGCCAGATCAGAGACGCCACGACGGGTGTTCTGGAGTCGGCTACCAAAGTTGGGTCCGTCAAGACGGTAGTCCTGATGTCGTCGGCCGTCGCCGTGTTCTCTCCAAAGAATTACCCGTACATCTACACCGAAAGGGACTGGAGTGACTCTTGGGTAGAGATCGTGGACCAGATGGGCGCTGAATCGCCTCCGGGGCTACCGTATTTGGCAAGCAAGGTGGTGGGCGAGAGGTCTTTTTGGAAGTTCCGGGATGAGAGGAAGCCATCGTTCACCATGACTGCTATCAACCCTTTTTAAGTGCTGAGAGCATTATTGTGCAGCTGAGGCCACGTGCTAATAGTGTGATAGCTTTGTTAGCGGCCCGCCCCTCACCATGCCCAAGTCCCCGAGCAACATCTCAAGCTCGTGCATGTTCATCTGGAGATACTTGAATGGTGAAGAACTTGTGGGACCCATGCCCGATTGGGATTACTGGGTTGATGTCCGCGACGTGGCGAAGCTGGTTGCCTGGGCCTTCGACCATGGTGATGAGGCGGACGGCGAGAGGTACATCTCAAAGACGACATGGGCGCCACCTCAAGCGACGGCCGACATCCTCAGGCCAGAGTACCCTACTCTTTCTATAAAACAGGGTCGTCCAGGCGAGGGCTATTTGCCAGGTTGGAAGACACCGCGGGAGGCTGACGTTGATGGATCCAAGGCGCTGAGGGCGGTTGGTGGAGACTACGTTCCATATGGTCAGTCCGTCTTGGATACGGCAAAATCATTTGAGCCGTTGATGAGGAAGCTTTAATTCTCCAAATTCGGTTCAATCGGTGTTATTCCATCTTTAAGTATGTATGCAACGTCAACCATTACATTACCCACGTCATTCAAAAATACGTACAAGCTCAAGCAACCGCGGATAAGAGTCTCAGTTTCCAAACGCTGGTCTCAGAACTTTCACTTTGTCCCCTGCTCTCTTTCTCTTTCCTTGCGCATAACAGCCATGATGACCTGATCTTGTGCCCAGGCAGGTAAGAGGTTGGAGCCGAGTTGTTGAACTGCGTGAGCCCAGTACCCAACGACTATCCCATTGCCATGGCCAGATCGTGCCAAAGCTGCCCGGGCCATGGTCTGGGAGTCCGGCGTGAACAGAGATGGAGGCTCTTTGCAGTGTGAAACATCGGTGACCCTCCCTATCCTAACGCCTAACATTTCGACCTGTTTGTCGTCATCATCGATTCTCAACTCGAGGCCCACGGCACGTGTCATATTCATGAGAAATTGCTTGCTGGCGCTGTAAGACGTCAGCAGAGGAAATCCTTTGTCTGCCATCGAGCTGATATTCATCACAAGGGCTGGCGCGTTCCTGCGGAGGATAGGTAGAAGCACCCGCGTCAGATGAAGCGGAAAGAGTGCGTTTAAGCTGACGTTGCCGGTGATCCTGGCAGCAGAGGATTCGCTAAGAGGCAAGCAAATCGGATTGACCGCGCCACCCCCTGCATTGTTGATGAGTACGGTGAGGTGCAAATCACTAAGATCTGCTTGGATGGCGTTGAAATCGAGGTGATTTTGCGAAGAATCGCTCGTTGCACTTGGTTGCTCAGACCCAATGCAGTTCATGCATGGCACAGTGCTTGCGTCTGCGATTAGCAAACGGAAAGACCGTTGGGGATGCGTTGCTTGCAATCGAGACAAGGCGGTAGACAGCTTGGAATGGTTTCGTCCATGAATTACCACGTTAAACCCATGCATTGCCAGATCGTGTGCGAGAGCGTGTCCTATGCCATCTGAAGCGCCCGTAACCAGCGCCCAGGGCTCATTGCCGTTCGTGGATGTATGCCCATAGCGGCTCAATCTTGATGGTAGGATGTAGATGGTGATCAGATTGATAGCCTTGACAACGACAATGCCGATGGTGAAGATACCAACGGCAGATATGATGTTCGGTATCCAGTGCGCCATTTAGCCGCCGTCGGGTATTGGAATGCGGTGGGGAGATGATAGAACCAATGATGCCAATGTAGGTCTTGCCGGAAGGTCTACATCCCGGTCTATGACGAAGAAAAGAGCTGGAAAAATAGCCCGGAAACATGACTAATAATCCTTAGACTAGGTAGCAGACACTAGAAATCCATCCCTGCGGGCGGCTAGAGAGGTGCAGTCAAATTGACGCCACCTTGCTAGGTCCCTAGGTAGGTAATTCACTGCAATTGGCGCACACAAACAAATCGTTGATGGCCACAGCGCATAGTACATACGTAGGTACTTGGAGACCGACGGAACCAATAAAAAAACGTCAACCATCTAGAGCAGGAACAAGGGGAGGCGTCTCAACGACCCATCGCAACTACCTGAAGTCGTTCGGTTTTCAAACACTTCAAGTCATTTACGTGTGCACTTGAGTGCTTGAGTGTTCTGCTGGAGGAAGTGGGAAGCAGCGAGGTTGGCGCTTCAGCGTGACTGAAATGGGAAATCGTCTGATGGTTCTCGTCACTTGCCAGTTGCAACCAACGGACTCCACTTGTGAGCGACGGGTGAAGGGTATGGATTCAACGTGATTCGGTTCCTCAGAGCCGGCGGAGACATGAAAGAGTGTCGGTGACACAGACGATGATAGCTGCCGTGAGTTCAATTAAATCAATCGAAAGGATAACAGTAGATTACACTGTTCCCGTCTGAATATTGTTTCTTTTTCCTAAAAGGTTTATCCTGTCGCCAACACCGAAAACACCGGAGCAATGATCAATGTTTTGCTTTTTGCCCACGTAGTTACCAACCAGTTCTCTCGTCCAATGTTTTGGCTTCCCTATTGCCAGGTTAGCCCCGTTTGCTAAAATAATTTTTCCACATCAAGCACCTTACATGCTCTCAAGTGCACTTCATCATGACACTCTGCACGTTGCTGGCGGCGCCTCCTGACGTTGTCTCGGTGGAGCAGAGACCCTCCTTGAAGGAACCGAAACCTTCTCCTTTTCCACAATCGGTTCCCGAGAAGGCAAACCAACCGCAGTTTCCAGGGAGGGCCTGTGCGAAGAAGGATCCCGGCTGTGACAGGACGCGACAGTCGAAGGCGTTGATGGTAACGTCGGTCTTTGCCACGCCGGTGCAATCGGTAGATGCAAACGCTTGGAACCTCTCCGCGGCGGCGGTCGAGAAAGTTGCAGACAACAAAGCGACGATGTAAGAGGGCTGCATGGTGAGATTGTAGTTGGAATTGAAGGAAGAGTGGGGTTTCTAGTGCGTAGTACTTGTCGTTCAGTCCTGAGTCGTCTGTCTTTTTTCTTCGTAAGCGTTTGGTTTGCAAGGGTAATGTTCTTGGCATCTCTGGGAGATTGACTGTATTTATACTTTGGATTTATCACAATCCTGTGAGCAATCATTAGGTAGAGGTAGTGACAGTTGAACAACACAAAATAGAGTTGAAGAATAGACGAGCGCACCGACGTATTGGACTGGAGTGGGCATGATATGGCTAATTAGCGGAAATTGAGGTCTCGGGCTCGCCGATCGCGGGTGCCGTTTTCATTCAATTATCTCCCCCTTTGCAGTTTAGGATTGAATCGGTACACTTAGTATTGCGGCATTTCACCAACTGTACATCTTATTCTTTTTATCTCTATACCTTAGATATTTGCCAGTCCAAATCGCGTTGTGAGCGCTAGCGGTACTCACACACATTGGAACGACCACAACTTGAAGGGTAGATTACTCAGTTGATTCGTAAACTTGCTAGGCAACTGTTTTAGCTTTTGTACAACGGTTCAGGGCCGGGGAAAATCTTATCTGTAAGGATAGACACGGTACAGACGAAACGACGACAATGACAACGAAGATTACAGCGCCAATTATAAATAAGTATAGAGCTAAACAATCAGTCATATAGGCCTTCATGTCATCCGATCAGCTAGAAGTGCCCGCATGCAGAGCCAAGCTCAAAATCGGACGAATTAGTATCACCTCAAAGTCAACGTGGCAACCCGGCGACGGAACTGTTTCAAAACGCCGAGAACAAACTTCTAGTCGACATTGTCGGGCAAGATAGCGTGAGCTTAAGTAAGGAAAGCTTGATAACAAAAAGTCTACGCAATCGATGTGTTCTTATGCTCTTGGGAGTTATCTTCCTTCCCAATCCTTTGGTCATACAAGGTGAAGTGAATCGTACTCAGCCTCAATCCCAATTCTTCAGACTAAGAGTGTTCCAAAATGAATTCACTGAATCAATCCTATCCCAAGCGCCCGCTCAAAGTTGCTATCATTGGCGGCGGGCCAGGCGGCCTAAGTGCGGCGATTGAATTCCAGAGGCTGAGCTTCGTTGACTGGACGCTTTACGAGAAGAAGCCTGCCATCAGCGAAACGGGGGCCGGCTTGAGCCTTCAGCGGAATACCTGGAGACTCTTGGAGTTTAATGGCGTTGCTAAACACTTCTCCGAAGAGGACTTCTTCAGATGTCAGGATGGCTCCAACAAGCACATTCGGTTCGTTTGAAGGCCTTCGCAACCTCTGCAAGCGATTGTGTGGCTAATAACGCTGGTTGACTCCAGCAATGGGCGCAATGGAGAGTTGATGGATATAATTAGCCACGCCGAGAACACAATTCCTCAGCACCGAACCTGTCGTATGATGCGCAGTAAGCTGCAAGCGGCGCTGCTAAAGGAGGTTGATAAATCGAAGATAATGACGTCTAAGTGTTTGGTATCCGTTGGTTTTGTGGCCGGCGGCAGATGCAGGTTGACTTTCAAAGATGGCTTTGTCGATGAAGTTGACCTTCTCGTCGGGGCAGATGGGATCAGATCAGTATGCCAAAAAGACCCTTTGCCAGGACATTATTAACCCATTTCAGATTGTGAGATCTGTTGTGTCGCCTTCGCACCACCTCGGATACAACGGGCACTTCACCTATCGTATGACGATTTCCCAAAAGGACGCAAAGGAGATTCATGGCCTTCCATGGGCACCTACCTTCTGGCTCGGTAACGTCGGACACTATGCGTTTACCTGCCCTCTTGGTGGCGATGACTTCGAGGTCACACTTCGCATCCCACGACCCCCTGAAAAGGAGGAATTCGTTAGTTGGGGGCGTCCATGCAACCTAGCCCCAATTGCTGAAGATTTCAACCTGTTTTGCGATCCAGTAAGGCATGCTATCCGTCTCAGCATCCACACCCAGTGCCAAGAATTTGCTCTATTCACTGGGAGTAGGCTCGACCGGATCGTTGCCCACGATGCGGTAGCGTTGATTGGTGACGCGTCCCATCCATTGTCTGGGGCATTAGGTGCAGGCGCAGGCTTTGCCTTGGAAGACGTGTACGCTCTCGCAAAATGCTTGAGCTGGGCATGGTTACATGGATGGTCTCTCGGGATTGCGTTGGAATACTATGATCGCATCAGATCGCCCCATTATCGTGAAATCTATCGAGTGCTGGGCAGAGTCAATGGGACTGAAGCTGCTGTAGCAGCCGAGGATCTCGATATAGACGCAGAAGTCAAAGAACGAGTCAGAAGAACTGACGAAGCCAGAGATAACTGGGTATACTACTATGAAGTAGACAAAGTAGTCGCACGCACTTTGAAGGACCCTGAGTTCAAAGTTGACGCAAGGCTTTAGGGACCCGTACGAAGTTGCGGTTTTGGATTTGCTTGGCAGAATTCAGTACTTAGAATGACGTATTCAAAGTAGACAAAGCTGGTTGAGAATTGAGTGTAGGATTTGAATTCATCCGTCGACTCTCCTAGTGGGATTGGAGGTCTCACTCGTTTCAAGCTCACAACAGGATCAATCTTTCCTGTAATTTGTTATATACTGGAGTCCCGCCTTGTGGTAATGCTCGAGCAAATTAGGAGAGGAAATTCAGACCGAAATGTCAATCTGCTTGGCCCGGCACTGAATATTCGGCTCTCAGCTTTTGTGACTGCAGATACCTGGGTGGGCTGTGGAGTACCGAGATTCACAAAGTCGTGTGACATCAGCAGCAACAATAGACCCGAGGCGACGAGAGATACGTGCCTTGCTTCCAGCTGCTGACATGCTTATCTGTAGCCATGTTCAATGAATCTCTAACAGTAGTCATACCCTATTTCTAAGCGGCAGTTCCGCGAAGCCTAGACAGTAGAAGCACTGAAAGTGGTTCGCGCTTATTTTTCTGCTCGCCCGACAAAGTGTCTGAGTCTCTCCGTAGCTATGCTGAAATGGACATTACCGGCCTGCATAGTTCTGGACATACTGGGATGGACTCGAGAACAATCCGTAAGGTGAAGAAAACTGCTTCAGCCATTGCCCCTCGGGATCATTGTTAACCGTATCGTCGTCGAAGGCTTGCGACCTGTGCTATCGGAAGGGAATCAATTGCGATACCCAGAAACTGCTTTGCTCAAATTGTCAAGTGTATTCGAGAAAGCGTACGCGCGAGGCAACCAGCAGACACAAGATGAAAAAGAAGAAGACGCCATCGCCCACCCATGACCATGGACAACATCGACAACGAGCTCAGAAACAGCGTAGCACAGGTGAACGACAAGCTAGGCAGTCATGATCAAAATGCTCAGCGACAACATGATGCCGATCCCGTCGAACAGGTCACAGTCTTGTCGCTTTTTCCTATGCTTCCCGGTCTCGCAGTTCGCGGTGAACAAAACTCCATTATCATGCCCAGTTCTTGGCCGTCGCCAAATCCAGTGCAAGACACACGTGGTCGACGGCGCAAGGAACTGCTACCAGAAAATATTGTGCGCCACGTCATGGACGTCTATCTGGTGACTTTCAACAGCGTTTTTGTCACTGTTCTTTCCGCCGTCTCTTTACCGAATCGTGGACGACTGGTACTGCAAGCCGACTGACCAAAGTGGATCGCTGTCCTGGGCTACCATAAACGTTGTTCTGGCTCTAGCTTATTGTTATGGCCACGGCCACTTAAGCTTTACCGCTCTGCAGGCCGTCAACGTCGCCGGGTGCCTTGATAACGCCCAATCGGTACCTAATGACACTGTATCGGGGGATATGAGTCTGCAGAGCGTTCAAATCTTTCTTGGCCTAGGCATCCTATTTATGGAGGCTAGGCCAGGTGACGTTCGAGCACCCATCATCTTTGTGTCCACGGCCATGAGACTCACGCAGGCCATGGGCATGCACCGCAAGGACAGTTACAAGAATACGAAATCAGTCGAGGATATGCAACGAAGACGTGTATTCTGGATCGCCTACATCCTCGACAGAGACGTGGCCGCGCGAACGAGGCAGAAGCCCATGCAGCACGACGTGGACATGGATCCTGATCTGCCCCCGATCGAGGATGAGGTGGCGATGGCAGTGACCGGAATGTTGCTGATGCTGGTGCTAATCATGACTATGATGACGCTGATGATGGCGCATGCGCAAGGGGCATGACCAAGTTGAACCTATTCCGCGCCCGCGTCGAGCTCGCCCGGATTCAAGGGCGTTAAGACAACTGCGTCTTTTCCGTCCGGGCCCGTCACATGGATCCTGGAGAGAAGGCTCGGCTTGCTCAGGGTATTAGGGTCTCCATTCAGCAGTGGAAGGCTCGGCTGCCGACCGCCCTTGGCGTCGACTTCCTGTCAAGTCAAAACAACAACCACGGTAGCACTGAAGCTGCAATCCTGCCGGCCGTCATGTGCTGTATGCACTCTTTGACCACTATATGCCTCGGGCAGCTGTGTTGTGTCAACTCGATGGACTTCCACTGGATTGAGGAGGTTCTTTCCTATGCTCGGGGCCTCGGTGATTGCGACGCGACGTCCTCCTTTACCTCTCCCTCATCGGTTATACCACCGCCGCCGCCTTCAGCTGAAGGCTGGAATGTGCTTGTGAGCCAGTGCCGTAAGTTCGTGCAGCCCTTTCTCAGTATCCGCTCAAAACATCCCACCTCCGTCAACGTCCAGCTGTGCCCCTTCATGTCGATTCTTCTATGCCCGTCTGTCAACTTGTTCCTGAACTTCGAAAATGGCAACAGACTGACGGACCAGCGCCTCATGGCGGGAGCCGCCTCTGTGCTGGGTGGCGTTATGGAGCAGACGCAATCAGAAATTGTCTCCAAGGTTCTCGAAGTCTACATTGAGTTTGACTGGCACTTTATACTACTAACGACCGACCTCACAACGTCAGAATCACCTTTTCTGGGCAAGTGACTCTCGTATCAGTAGCACCTTGAAATTCAATGTATGCAGTCAATGTCCAATAGTTGCAGTGCCTAGCGCAGAAACATGTCCCTTAAATCGGTAAGCTTAGACAGGCGTAAAGTGTGTGTTGCCGCTTTTGCGAGAAGCGTATCATTTGTCAGGACCTCCCAGATTCATGCCGAGATACCCCGGACAGGATTATGCCAAGTAGCTCTGCAATCTTGCACTGTGAGGTTCCGAGGAACACCGGGATCTCTTACGTGATTTGTAGGTTCCGCGCATTGCAACTCACAAAGGGGGGGGGGGGGGGGGAGGGGGGTAACATTTCTAAGCTACTGGGGAGCCAAGTACAAGAACCGTGATGTCCAGTGTCGTGAATACCGCGAGATCAAAAGATATTAAACCAGACAATCTTTCTCGTCTGGTGCGTCTATTTCCTCAAGTACCACTCGCAATGCTTGTGGGCATTGGCTCATACGTTGCAAATTCCCAAACCCAACCGACACATTCATACGAGGGCCAAAGGAGTTCTGATTTCGAAATGAACATCAAGACGAACATCACTCTCTACACTGAGGGAACTCCCAACGGCCTCAAGCCTACCATTCTGCCGGCGGAGATTGATCTGGAATACAATGTGAGAAGAAATAACCACCTAACAAGTTCGACGTAAGCCGAGAAACAGCTAGGAATTTCAAACCTCCAGGATGGCAGGGATCAGTTTTGGTGTCTCCATATGGCACAGCTTCTGTAAGTGCGCGACCTCATGCAGCTTTTCATGATCCTCCTCAACGCGAATGAGCAGATCACATGGGAAGCCGTGTCGGAGTTGGACCTGAAGGGTGGGTGATTCGAAAGGTGCGCGTCGAAAGTGTTGGAGATTGTAAGGGGCTGGCCCCTAGGCTTGTTTAACATAGAGGTGCTGTTGATTGACTATTCTAAGCTGAAGAAGGAAGAAAGGACTTTATAGGGATAGGCGCCTAGCGGCGGTGAAGCATACTGGGACTAGGCGGTGTGCTACGGCAGAATAGTGGATCCGGCGGGGCTGGGTCTCGGTAGCTGCTCCGGCAAAGCCGGAGATCTCGGCCGGGCTCTAGCCCGTGACAGAGATGATATCATGGGGATGTTCAAAGACACTGGGAGCATCAGGGAAGACTTCTGACAGTATCTGCGTGTCTGGTGAAAGCATTCTCTTATCGTCCGACATCGCTCAAGAGTATTCGTTGGCCACCTAACTCGCAGCTTGATTTGATATCAAAGAGGAGTGCGAGAACAAGAATGGAGAGGGGAAAGCAGCATTGTTATACGGCCTTCAGCTTGTATTTATCCGTTGCTATTCGAAAAGGGTGTTTCACTTTGGTGGCACTGTAACCGACTACCTGCGTACTGATTGTAACTCACACCAAACGTTGCATGAGTGGGGACGTGAAAACGGAGACCATGATTGAGCCTACACATTTTCTTTCGGTGAATCACTGCTTTATTCGATACCGAAACAAAATCTGTGAAGATGTCACCGGTATCCTGGTCATACACTTTCAGACTTGATTCTTTGAGTTGAGCCACAGGCTTGGGACATCTATTCCCTGCCTGGTCGTACATACTGACTACTACCCATACGTTGGCGATGAATGCGGAGCAATGATTAATGATAATCGGTCCGTGAGGCATTGGAAGGACCCCCAACTAGCTCTGGCTTCTATGCGAGTGGTGTTGTCTGTTGAATAGGATGAAAAGCGGAGGTGTGGGTGTCGCAGGTTGGAACGACCTTTTTTCACAACTGCGAAAGCGGCCGCGACGTATGTATTCCAAACAGCGTCGCGCAGGAACCAATCTCCTTGAGCTTCGTCGCTCTGTGTAGATTGTGCAAGCTGATCTACGTCATATTTCGCTCTAAGCGGCGGGTTTGGGAGAGACGGGGACGTGACTTCGGGCCCTTATTCGGGAGATTGCCCATCCTCCTCCGTCGGGGTCAGGCGGATTCCATCTTATTCGGTTTCGGCTTCTGCGGTAATGCTCGTATCCGTAGTGTAGTTCATCTGAACCTTAATCTGTACTGAGATGGGACCACTTGTCAGCAGGGGCTTGTAACGTCTCCACCGACACCCTTGTCACATCGTTTTCGGATTCGGGTCAGCTTGAATCTTCGTTGAGGCTGTGTTAACGCCGAGCTAGATCATAAGGTCCTTGGCCATGCACCGCAGACATCTTGCCCAAGTGCCTTTGGTATCTCTTAACAATGTTTACACCCGCCGGTCGCAATGAGTATGTTAATTCCGCAAGTTGAAGCCACAGGGTTATAGGGATTATTAGATTTCAAACCTAGTCAAGATTTCTTCGATTCTCATTCGCTGGTGCTGCAGTACGCCGAGGTAGAATGGCCGTCATGAACAAGCATCATCGCAGTATTATCTTTCGCGCCCTAGAAGGTTTTGACATACAACTTACTACCGCATTTCTGGAACCATTCTTTCGTTCTACTAATCACACTGCATACTGAAAACCAATCGCTACTTAAGTTATTCGTTAACTCTTCGCGAGTAAATCAAAAGGGCAAAACACGTTTCTCATGTCATGCTCCTGTGGCCCCAATACCTGCAGCAACGTGACGGTGAGAGATAAGACAGAAAATGACCGGTACTCATCATCCTCGTTACCCAAAGACTCAAAATGCACTTCTCCGGTGATGCCGGACTCTACGTGGGGCTTTAGGAACTTAACAGGGGGTTCCCACCACCAAAACTCAGCGACGCTCCTTTACCAAACGGTCGAGGTCGCGAGATTAAGGTTGATAAGTAATACAATAGCTTTTGGACCATGATTAATATATGCTGGGCGGCGTACATGCCAGTAGGAGATCAACGCACAATCTGATTCAAGACTCCGCGTCTGGCAACTGTAGACTTTCTTCTGGCCCCTTGCAATTCCCATACGAGTAAACGGCGGGACCTCTTGTCAAACGAGAAACTCTATTGATAGATTTCCCCTCACCTTTTAACTTGGCTTTCACGAGTCCTTGGGACTATCCTAGTTGCTGTGGCTCTACGTGATGACAGACTTCAAATGGGTAGTTCTACGAATATATAAAGCAGTCTAAACTTGTCAGCACATCCACAAATTACGAGCCTCGAACACTTCCAACTGCCACAACCACATCAACAGAGACATTTCAAGAAAGAACGACAAAATGAAGCTTCAAACCGCTCTCGCCCTCCTCTTTGCCTCCGTGGCCATTGCAGTTCCAGGCCAAGGCCAAGCGGGTAGCAATGTGCTTGCCCGCAACCCTCAGAGGGGTCCTGTGCGCCCATCTGGAAACTGCTGCTCGTACATCCCCGGCACATGCAATTGCGGTTGCGTAAGTAGTCTCACGACTTTGTACAACAGCGATCTTCGCATGCTAATTTCAGTGTTACAGTGCTCAGGTGTATGTGATGGGTTGAGGAGACACCTGTCTCGCACTCCTTCCCTCCCTTTTCCTTTCCCAGTTTGGTTTAAGAAGACTAACATATATACACTCAGGGTCCTTGCGCCACCAACGACGATCCCAATGCTACCTGCCCTTAGACTGAAGAGGTTTTGATTCCACTGTCCTATTGAATGTGTGAATAGCTCATTGAGCTTTTGCCTGGATGGGGCTTGCATGGAAACCAGGTAATGGTTGGCAAAATCGCGGGAGTGAAGGTTCTATTTTTGCCTTCGTGTTTTTGCCTCACTTGGGCATGCGTGGTGCAGGCGGGATTAGAGTCAATGCATGGTCATTTTGGAGGATCATCCAGCATTAGCATTCAGCCCAGCTGCCTACCAACGGCTCGAACATAAGAATAAACCTTTAGCCTCTCAAGTCTGTCATACATATCTCCACACATTATGCCTCCGCGACATTGTCGGCCGTTATGAAGTGACCAAAGCTTTAGTGCATCAATGGCCTAGAGAGTCGGCATCTAGGCCTGGGTAAGATCCCCCTCGTCTGCAACAGCAACACAGTCATACCCACCTTAGTTTCCCTCATGCCTTACGCCAACAAGTAATTAAGGCGGCAACCTGTCATGGTGACTTAAAATTCATGGTAGCTTCCCTCCGCATCCAGAAAACGCGCTTGATTTTATGAGCTTGGGAGAGGTACTCCGTACATATCAGTCCTTGCGGCCTTGGAAGTCCAGCAAACCTTACTTGCACCACAATGCTGCCAGACAAAGACATCAACGGGCGAGAAACAAGTGCTGCCAGCATTGTGTTGCTTGCAGAGTCCACTCGACTCATCACCACCAACCCATCTGTCGTCAGTAGCACCGTTCACTGTTCCTTCGATAGGATGATACTATCTGGAATTAATACTGTACTGGTACTCGAGGAGAAATTCTTACGTATGACCCATCGTGGGGAGCATTGTGGAGTCTGATGTACCACCAAGCTTCACCTTTTGGAAACTGTAAGAGAGGATCGGAACTCCCACGAAGATTGCTGACTCACTGTACACAAATCGTTCATCAGAACCGTTGACAACAGCCTTTGTGGCTTCGTCGTCAATGATCATGCCTGCAGGAGGCTGGTCTCTCACACAGGCGCAGAGACGATGCTTGTCAGCATTGGGAACAACCGCCCTGCTTGAGGATTAGTGTTTGGTCATATAGAAACAGGGACGTTACTTTACATCATGAGGACTGCCAGGAAGCCGAAGTTCTTTGCCATTGCTTAGTTCGAGTTTGAACAGAAAGGGCTGGATGTATGAAGTCAGCGAGAAAATTAAGATGGCTGCATGACACCGATCGAGGTAGAGGAAACCCGTCGAGTTATGAATGTTAATCAGTAGCACTATACATATCACAGAAAACCAGTCGAACCAGTACTTCTTTCTCCAGCAACCGTCAATCGGTCTGCCCGATATCCCGCCGGCTGCTGCAAGGCTCTGAAGCCCCTGTGCCGGGCGGGGCTAATTAGCATGATGATCGGCTCTACGAAGTAGTCTTCTTTCGACCAACGAGAAAATCCAAGCACTCTAGAATTAGGGTAAAACTGGGTCATGTCGTGGCTAAGACCTTCTTGCGTCTTGTGGCAGCCGGTGGGATAAAAGCAGATGCCACAGCGCCATCAAAACGGCCCTTGATGGTTCTATCTCATACTTCCCCAAGCAATTTTAGAAGCAAGTGAATTTACTGTTATTTCTCCTTCCAAAGCAGCCCCCCGCAAGTGCACTGCTGGCTTGGAGTTTGCGGCCAAAAAGCACATCAAAATAGCCAGGGGGGTGGCTCAATCCTTACGGGTACTTGGAACCTTCGAGTCAAGACCAGTGAGAAAGGGTAGTGGGGCAATACCGAACGTATTCCTGGCCGGCGATCACTACACTATCCAAACTGTGCCCCTGTCTTGTCACGCAGCATAGAGTAATGCTCGATGACCGAACGACGCAGCTCTTCTGTATCGTTGCTGAATCTGGAAGGATTGAAGCTACTGTCCAGCCCAGTTTGGCAATCCTACCATCCTCATCATCGCATGCTCACCAAGGGACCAAATAGGTAGTCAGTCAATCAGTCCTGCCAGAGGAACAACATGACTTCATGAACATGCGGGCAACCCCGCGGAAAGGTTTGCTCACGTTTCCACTGTATGCAACCGTTGCAAGTGCTAAAGATTACGTTTCAGGGATAGCAGGGTAGACTTTCAAGGCGGATTGCTTGACCGCCACGAGAGCCACATTATCTTCGGTCGTCGAAAACCTGTAAGATAGGTTTCGAGATTCGATGGGACCACAATGAGGAGGGGCTACCGAGAAACGGGAAAAGTGGAGGAGATGAGTCAATGATGCTCGAATAGATTGTGAGTTTGAAATGTGATCAACAACCCCCTGAACAGAATCTCCAGGCTTGTTCTTTTCATGAAGTTGACAATGAAATGCCTCCAGATGCTTTCTAGACGACCCGTGGCCTGGAGAAACCATTGGGGAAGACGAGAGCCCCATTATTGATGCGTCTGTGAAGTTGGATGAGAGTGCCAGCCGCGAAAAGGAAGTTAAATGGTTCATCCCGTTAAATGATGGTTGAGCTATCCTCATTTCAGTTGATTACGTCTGTCTACTTCTATCAGGCGTGGGCCTCAAGAAAGACGGTTCTACAGCATGGAAGCAGTTTCTGACTCAAGCTGTTCGTTAATCCGGTCTATTATGAGGACCTTCTGACCGATGAACTCCGTTGCTTCTGAGGGCGAGCAAGCAGCGGGGACTGCTTTGTGTAGAGGTTGTTTTAGTCATAGTTCTCGCTCTATCTTAACAAATCTCTAGTCAACAGACTGTCTATGATGGCACGTGCGGGAACCTGAGAGATTTCAAGGACATTTAGATATGGTGGGTGAGAGATATCTGGCTAGCCCCGCGTGATGATCTGCCCCGGGACCCACGGAGCAACCCACATGATACACGCCGGTAAGATTCGACCGCCTTTGTTGTCGTATGTTCAGTCACTGGTGCCATTTTATATCAAACAGGGTGATGGTCATTTACTTTTCTGTCCTTGGTGTATGTGGAAGTGATATGAAGCGACATTTGTGACCTGCGGGAGTTCTCACCAATTCGTCCGCTCGGCGTCCGACCTGGCCGTGGGGTCTAAAGAGGAACCCGACGCCATTACATGTTCGCCCGAATTGGACTGCGTATTTGAACGATTCGGCTGCGATGTTGTAACCCTAGAACCTGGCGGAGCAATATTCGCAAGTTCAGCAAGTACGTCAGAGGTACGTCGGTCTCCCTTCGACTGGGTGTGTTGTCTTCATTACCCAATTCTACTAGCCGTTCCAAATTAGAACTCAACTATTGCGCGTCTACTGTTTCCCGACAGATGAAATTTCAAGTAGCCGACTTCAGGAGATGGGTGCTTCGCACTCCGACGGGCGTCGGCTCACTTGAGTTGCAGACAACGTCAATGTCATTTTCTCTTGGACCCAGAGAAGTGCTTGTTCGAATTCGCGCTGCGTCGTTGAATCCTCGTGACTTGGCCATAATCAATGTGAGCGCACTCCATTCCGATGAATTACAGGACACTAACCGGCAGCAGGGGCTCGGAAAGGTAGAGTGAGATCTTTTTGTGAGGTCTGGTCCTCGGCTAAGAATTCCTTTACTCAGCACCTGCATCCGACACCTGTAAAAAAATCGCTTATACCAGGGTCAGACGACGCCGAGGCTGTCCTGGAGGTCGGCTCCGATGTTCAAGATTTCTGCGTAGGGGACCACGTTGTTACGCACATCACTGCTCACTTATCAGATGAGGCATTCGCGACGACGGATGACATGATTCAAGGATTGGGTCAGCAAAGGGATGGTACTTTATGCGAAATTGGTATCTTTGGCGACACCGCTCTGGTTCGGATGCCGAAAAGCTTGTCATTTGAGGAAGCTGTGACTTTGACCTGCTCCGGCCTGACGGCATGTAATGTCTTGTTCGGACACCCGGGCAAGGTGGTGCACGTTGGCGATCACGTTCTTGTGCAAGGAACTGGAGGCGTGAGCATCGCTGCTTTGCAGGTACGTAAGGCCAACTCATACATTACATCCTGTCTGTCTTGCGGCGTTGGATTGGTCACTGATAGTTGCGAACGAATAGCTTGCGGTAGCAGCCGGTGAAACAGTCGTAGCTACCACAAGCAACCAAGAAAAGTCGAGTCGCCTGAAAGACCTCGGCGCTTCACACGTAATCAACTATCGCACAACCGAGAATTGGGGTCAGGCTGCTCGGGACCTTACTCCAGAGTCTCGAGGAATGGATCACGTTATCGACATAGGCGGATATGCAACTCTCAGTCAGTCTATTCTTGCCACGCGTCCTGGTGGAGTTCTGAGCGTCGTCGGAGCCTCTGGCGGATTTGAGGGTGAGCGCCCTGATGTTTTGGAAGTTTTGTTTCGCGGGATTTCTCTGCGAGGGATTGTTGTGGGAAACAGACAGATGTTCCGAAACATGGTTGAATTCATAGAGGCGAAGAACTTACAGCCGGCGGTGGATGATGTGACGTTTGAGCTAAAAGATCTGAAGGCGGCGATTGAGAGATTCTGGAAGGGGGAGCACTTTTCCAAGATCATTCTTAGGAACTAAGATTCTTTCTTCCGGCTTCAGTCCATTACTTTCCATTCACATGTCGCAGAGACGTTAAACTTTTGACTCGACTGGCAAACTCTAAACGCAACACCGAGGATTGGGTTATGCTTATACATCACTTTGACCCGGCCCTGACATAACCGGCGTAATTGGCGTAACTGGCGTAACTGGCGTAAGCATGTCGGCCTCCCCCTCTCTTTACTCCACATTCCGTGGCAAGAGTACATAGTATTTATATACAGCCGAGTTTTCACAGTAAACCAGCAGCATGAGTGTATTTACCATCGCTACCTGATTGTACGTTTGCTCCAATGGCCCCCGCGACGCGTTCTTCCTCATATACCTTCCGTTGGTATTGTCGCCCCGGCTTCGGATGTATGCCAAAATGCTTTTGGCTTTTGTAAAGCAAATTGCGAAACAGCTGTCCTCAATCACGCGGTTCGTGCGGCTTACTGGTCGCTCATTATCTCACAGAAGCACCCGAACTTCAAAGGTGCGGAAATTGACATGAAAGTCGTTGTCTTGAGTTGCATTTTGCACGACATGGGATGGTCGGAGACGCAAGAACACCGCTTTGTAGACAAAAGATTTGAAGTGGATGAAGCCAATGTTGCCCGCGACTTTATTAGAAATCACGACAGTGGCACAGAAGGCTCATGGACCGAAGCCAGAATCCAGCGATCTTGGGACGCGATTGCATTGCACGCGACACCGTCGATCGCAGTCGATCGCACGACATGCTGCGAAAGAAGTTGCACTGGTGCAGATGGGTGTGCTGGCGGACTTCTTCGGGCCGAGGACTCATGAAGTGGCCGGTGGTCCAGAAGATTTGATCACTGTGGATGAGTATCATGCCGTGATGCGGGTGTTTCCCAGGGCTGGGTTTGACGGACAAGGCCTGAGGAAAATACTGTGTCATCTTTGCCGTACGAAGGCCGATACCACGTTTGATAACTGGGTGGGTGATTTTGGGCTTATATATGGGACGGATGGAGAAGGGGAGAACGTGGAAGAGTACGAGCAGGGGTGGGAGAAGGCACGGTCGGCCTCGATGTTGACGAGCGCCTTGGAGTCGCTGGTGGCCCTCGATAAGAAAGGCTAGAGTACAACGAAGAAGGCTCTCCAACTCGGAAGCCGATTGTACATGTGCAAGGCGACGTCTTCATGTTCCTGCGATCAAGAAGGAGAAGTCTTCAGCGAGACTTTTGATATTTCAAGTCGCCCACGTCGTCTATGTCGTCCATGTTGTCCATGTCGTCCATGTCGCCTCCAGCCAGCTCTAGTCATCTCACTACTGTCAATGGCATGGACAGTTCTGTCCGAAGGTAGGTACCAAGGCAAATGCGGTTGTCATCGATTACAGGTCGGGTGGCACCCTCGGGATTCTTTAGACTACAACGCCTGCGCAGTTAAACACTTATCATCGTTGCGATCAAAATGGAAAACAGCCGTACTCTGAACGTATAATAGAGTACGTCTCAGCAGATCAAGCTACTACGAACTGTCCAAATTGAATGCTTCTCTGGAGATCCAAAGAGATCAAGTGATCGTGCCAGACCCAAATACTTTGCCAGCTTAAGACATAATCTAGTACTTCAACTTGGTCACAAGCTTTCCTGTGTTTCCTCCCGAATACAGCATCATCCAAGTGCGAGGTATCTCTTCAAAAGCTGCCTCAACAACCATTTCACTCTCATTGTCAATGACAATAGTTCCCTTCTTCCACTCATCGAGGAGAATGGCTCGAACCTCGGGCAGATGCTCAACCCAGTCGAGATGTATGAATCCCGTGATTTGCAGACGCATTGCAATGACTTCCTGTAGCTGGGTCAGTACGAGAAATCAGTTCATAGGGGACATTACGCGTACGAAATAGTTCTTCAAACCAACAGCATTGCCGTCACGATTGTAGTTGGAAATAGATCCACTGGGATGACAAGTTAGACTTCGCGATGAAGTAAAAAGGTTATTGTGCCATGGTAACAACTCACCAAGCTGCGACTCGGCCAAATTTGGCCAATCTGGTCAGCATAAAGTCCAGAATCTCGCCGCCAACATTGTCTGAACTCAAGTCAGTTACCAGATCTGCAAGGCTTAGGTGGAAACTATGAATAGACCGAAGTAGATTTCAACAAATCCCTCAGTCTCTTTCGTGAGCTGCTGCTTGAAGGCTTCGGACTTGTAGTTCAGGCAGATGTCGGCTCCTAGCTTCTCAACCCAGCGAGACTTCTCATCGCTGCCCGCAATTCCAATCACCTGTGGCACACGAACAGTCAGTCAATTGGTGTATCCCGATTATGAAAATGGAGCATGGCAAAACATACCTTGCGACATCCGATCATCTTCTTTGCAATTTGAACTGCCATTGTTCCCACGGCGCCTGCCGCCCCGCTGATGACAATCGCCTCCCCCTTCTTGGCCTTCACAATTTGCGCAAGGGCGTAGTACGCCGTATGCCCAGGCAGACTCAGTGCGCCAAGGAAGTGTGTGATAGGTAAATCATGCTGGGGCTCAATGATCGCAACATTCTTGGCGTCGTCGATTGAGTATTCGGCCCAACCAGGGTTACCGGACACCAGGCTCCCCACAGGAACATCGGAGCTGCGAGATTCGACAACCTCTGCGATGCCCATGGACTTCATGACTGCGCCAACATCCACAGGCGGCAGGTAAAGACGCTCTGGACTGGCGAAAGGGGAGATCCAGGTACGTTGAGCAGGGTCATTGCTAAGGTATTGAGTCCTTAGAAGAACCTGACCATCCTTGAGAGGGGGAATATCATCTTGGGACGGGACAAATGTTGACTTGTCTCTTTCTAGAATCGGTTCGCCGAAGGGCTTCTCACGCAGAAGCCACTGCTTTGATGCTCGTGGGGTGCTCATGTTGAGTTTGGTGTGATTTGCAAAGTAGACAGCTGATGACTATCAAGGACAGGATGTTGAGGGCGCCAGAGAGCCGCAAAGAATTTATAGTTGTCGGAGGGAGCGCTCTGTCATGTTCCAGGACAATACTTCACAACTGATCATCGAACTACAATTAACTTGCAATTGTATGATGACAGCATGGGCATCTACCCAGTTTTCTCCTGCTTCTGGGGTGGCTGACTTGTCTCATTGGCTCTGGACGAAGCCATGCATAGCCGAGCACGACCCAATTGGTTCACTTACAGCAGACGCTGCTGGCAGCCGGTGGGATAAGAACAACTAAATCCACCGGATTAAGTGGGAAAATGGATGAATAATCCCAATCCACGGAAGATAAATTCCACATAGCGGCCCGCGTACTACCATTCGATCGAGGTCTCCGCCGTTCCCTGGAAGTCATTAATCATCCTGCACTGTTGCCCTCAACACGGGCAATTATCAGGAGATATACCAATCGCATGAAACTATATTCACGTCTTCCAGTGAATTCAAAGCAATTAGTGTGTGTCAATTGCGCATTGCAAAGCCTAGAGGTCGCAACTAAACAGGTTCCTTGCGCATGACACTGGTAATATTCAGCTCCTCAACCAGATAACTTATCCCATGTTGACGATTGACCATTGCGGTTTTCTGTTCTTATTCCTGCCCAGAGATCTGTCTTTAACGACCCTACTCTTGTCTGAGCAGGCAACATTGGACAAGTATTGGGGTCGACGGTGGGCTTGCAAGTTACTGCTAGAAAATATAAGGTAAACATGAAGGCTCAAGAGTCGTTGAACACATCGTTAAGTCGTGAATGTACCACGTAGTCACAGTGTGAAATTTCGGTCTAGGGAAGGTAGCATGCTGTTGCATATAGTCGCATGTTCAGCGCAGAGGTTGCAACTCTGATACAAGATGCGCTCTTCCGTCGAACGGAAAGTGGGGGGAGGTTTCAGACGCAATGTTGTGGTTCACGTAGAATGTAAGCTTTACACTCCGAGAGCGAGACCGAGGATTATGTCCGTACATTGCTACATCATTGGCCAGCTGAAGCATAGAGAACATAGATTGAGTGATGGTTGGGTTCATGAAGCTTAGTGTCCACCCATCCGGCTGTAGCCAAGATTGGTCGTAGTAGGCGGCCCCACGAGGATCCGACTGCGGCTACATCGCCGGTTGACACCCAGGTTGCGTGCTGGTCATCTGTACCGGGACTAGAAAGCATCAGCATAAGAACTAAATGTTAACTTTGCGCTGAGATTGACCACCCTCAGATCTAGTCGCCAATCCAAAAGTATCATGGCTTCTGTGAGCACAGGCATTATCAATTTCGAAGGTATGTAACGGCTTGATTGTCAGCGGATATTGTGGTGTTTGGATTATTCAGATGCATTTGAACAGACTACCTCGGTGTTTCGGCGGCTCTTTTCGAGTGGGCAGAGAGCTATGATACCAAAGATTGGGATCGTCTGCGAAAATGCGTGACTCCTGAGTTGCGAGTAAGTTTCCACTTCTGCTCGACTGACTCAGAGCAAATCCATTACATTTATGATATTGTACTCAGGGGCCAAAGTGAAAGGCACTAACAGACCGCCTTTAAAACAGATAGATTATCGAGACGTGTTAGGAAAGCTGTGGGAATCTATGCCGGCCGCAGACTATGTTGCCATGATTTCTAGCCCGGCGGTCCTAGGAAACCCGCTTTTGAGGACGCAACACTTTGTCGGTGCCACAAAGTGGGAAAAGATCTCTGACACAGAGATCCTTGGACACCATCAGCTACGTGTTCCCCATATCAAGCTTTCTGATGCGAGCCCGCCGGTGGAGGAGATGAAAGGCCACGCCCACAGCTACAATCAGCATTGGTATCGAAAGATAGACGGTGTTTGGAAGTTCGCGGGTCTGCGCCCGGAAGTGAGATTCGGCGAGTACGACATGAAAGGCATTTTTGAAAGCGGGCGGCAGTCGGTAGCTTCAGAGTAGATTCAACTAGCTATACAAATCTTCTCTACGAGGTATAATGGAAACGATAAACATCCAAGGTGGACCAACTGTGACTGACTTTGCCATGCAGTTATTTTCACGGCCTAC